TTTTTTTTTTCTCAAAGGCTTACTTTTGTTTTCTCGATTCTTCTGTTGATAAAGCAATGAATTAGAAATTTTTAGCAGAATTCGATTTGTTTCTTTGATTTGCCCATGATATAGTTAAAATTTAAGTCACCGAAACTCAGCTCAGCTTTACTTTGTCACTTCAGAACAACCGCTTTGATCAGAGCACGGGTAATTTGTAATAGCTACAGGTATTTGCATGTCTCATTAGAATCTCGCGCGTCAGCAGCGTACGTCCAATTTGCGTAATGAGCAACTCTGAGAAATATGCATGCATCTCATTTGCATAGCTGCCAATGAAGTGCTGTTGCATGCTTTAAAAACAAGAAAATGGCCAAAGCAATCAGTGATTTGTCCGACACGTTGGGAGGCAGTCGTGCGCTGGTACGTAATCTTCGACTGGCGAGCTTTTGTACACTGGTACGCAGTTCTGGATTCATCGCCAGTTTCCAATTCGCCAGGCAGGAATCCGGCAAGCGAAGTGTGGAACAATAACGGCCGTCTAAAATGCGAATCCGATCAACTGCTTTGGAAGCGACTGCTTGTGTTGGAAGCAATTTGCTTTTGTGATAATATTTCTCTTGTCGGCCTATAGGAAACGCTTATGGAACGTTGAGATTTGCGAATTGGGCGAAGCATGCGCAGTTAACGAGTACGCGAAGAATGATGAAGAGCCAACGAATGCGAAGCGAACGCCGGCTTGGATCCATGCCGAAGGAAATTCAGCAGCACTTGACGACAATCAGCACAAATATGGCTTTATCAAGTTAATGCGCCCTGCAGTCTGGCCAGCAGATGGTTTCTATTGACAAAGTGCTACCTCTGTGGCACTCCTGAGCGCTTCCACGTTGCCGGTATGCTTGCATCAACGACAGCTCGCAGCAGCTATACTTGTTCAGGGAATCTGGTCGTGGAATTTCAATCAGCTGTACTGCATGATTGTTGTTTGTTCTTCGCACTGACTTACTCATCCTATGTGTATCGTTGTAACAGTTGAAGCTCCTCTTACTGTCACTTGTGAAATTTCAGTCTGCTGTACTCTGTCGATCATTCAAACAATAAGGAAACAGTATTGTGTGATTATCAATCGTTCTTTGCATTGGCTTATTCATTCCATGTGTATCGTTGTAACAATTGAAGCTCCTCTTACTGTATGATTAAATTAGTTTCAATAAACGTTGCGTTTCATCCGCTGTTATC